GGAACAACAAAAGCTTTTCATTCATGTTATCCTGAGGATAAAACCATTACATTGATAGCTTGTTTAGCAAGGCAGTCTGCCTTTGCATTGAGTTTCCGAGTAATAGAAGAAAAAGAGACATGATCAAAGGCATATGCTAACACCTTTATGTCCTCAATAATACCATGTAGTTGCAGAAGTGATGTATCTGAATTAATGGCTTTGATAAGTTGCGATGAATCTGATTCGAACCGCATGTTTTTGAAACTCTTCTCCAAAGAGTGACGAACTGCTTCCCGTAAAGCTAGTGCTTCAGCCACAAGAGGAGAGCTTACATGTGTTACGGTCATGCTCTGCTCCTCCATAACTTCTCCGTTTTCAAGAAAGACCCAACCTAGACCTGCTCTTCTTGTTTCTGATCTCCAAGACCCGTCGGAATGGCATATGCTCAGGTTAGTAGTTCTGTATTTGGTGTGTTGTTGCTTTCCTCGGATTGGTTCAAGGATGGTTTGTTGAGATTCCGACCACTCTTTTGCCATGATAATTGCTGAATCTAGAGCTTCCTCCGTTGTGATAATTTTGTCCTCGAAGACAAGTTTGTTACGGGTAGTCCATAGTGACCACATTAACCAAGGTGTCAAAGGGCCTTCCGCTAGTCCCACTGGAGGTAAGCAGATCTTGGCTTTGACTCTCTCCCACGCAGTTTCAAAATCATTCCACTCTCCCGTCTCTGCGAGACTCACAAACGGGGCTGTCTTCCACACTTGTTGCATCTCTCCTACCTTCTATAATCTGTTTTATCACTGCCCAAAATTTTCCAGGGAAAAAACCATAATCAAATAATTTTGCAAATCTAAAGTATCTTTTATATGACCATCAGCTATGAAAGAAAAGAATAGAGCAACGAGACCAATGAATCTTGAGCAAATCAGCAAATTTTGTCATGAATCCTTGAGACTGAAGGGCTTATTGGCTAATCCATGTCCGTTCGATGTCTCTGGTTCACTTTTCACTCTTTGATAGAACAAAACGTATGCAGCCGAAGTCTTGATCTCGGATTCATTTACAGCTGAAACACGGCTATCATCAAAATCGTACCATTCGTTCTCTTCCATCAACTGGAGAAACAAACAGGTCACACCGATAGTTTCAATGCATTGGTCATTAGGAATGCAAAACCAAGATAGAAAGAAAAGTCACAAACCTTGTTTCCCTGATTATTTTTCGGCGAAAAAATTATAACATGATGATGTATCGTGGAAATGCTTCAACCCAATGATAATGGCAGATTACCAATGTGTTACAAAAGTTACAACTTTTTGTTATACACTCACAAATTATTCCATTTTAACACTTGCAACAAGCAAGAACCGAGAGTTCAATTAAAATTGGGGCAATTACAAAAATGCCACTTTTTGTGTGCACATTTGCAAGAATGTCACTTAGGGGTGTCTATTTACAAAAATGCCACTAATTATAGATTTATAAAGCATATATCTTAAAATTCTAAACACTAAAAAATGTTTTGACACCTAAAACCCCATAAACACTCAAAACTAAACCCTAATAGAACATAATTAACCCAAACATAAATAATATAAAGAAAAAATAATTTTAAAAAGTGGCATTTTTGTAAAGATTTCAAAAGTGTGCCATTTTTGTAAAGTAGCACTTGAAAAGTGGCATTTTTTGAAATTTCTTATTAAAATTTGATACTTTTTAAGTAAAGTTTGATACTTTTTCCCTTAAAATTGATATTAAATTTTATGCTACTAAACTGTTCTTTTTGGGTTAAATTTTAAAAGGAAGGTATGAGAAATTGATAGCTTAAGTGAGAAAATGGTTTAATTAATGGTTAAATTGTTTTGTTGCAGGGGAAAAGAAAATTGAAGTGGGCAATATTATTATCAATGGTGAGCATGTTACTGGCGAGACACTTACTTTGATTACACGAAACCAAAAAAAAAAAGGTTTTAAACTTATTATATAAAAGAGGTTTAAATTATAGAGAGCAAAGTCTTTTGCATTATTCCACTCGATCTATCTTTCACACTACAACAAATACGTCGGAATACGTCACTTAATTTAAGTCAGTTTATGTAACTGACGTTATAGACGGTATTTACCGTCACTTACTTAACTGACGTTAAACTTTTAATATCAAAAATCTTATCTAGTTATCTCAAATAAATTTGCTTAGTGAGACGCAGACGTTTCAAGAAACACAACTTTTTACTTTTTGGAAAATCAATTTCTCAAAATTCATCAAGTTTTCTCGCGATTAGAGTTTATGCTCCGATTTGGTGATTACTTTGAAATTGATCTTCTGTGTTGCTCGTTTCAGATTCAAAGGTGTAAAATCAGAATTCGATTCGATCCTTTGGTTTGTTTCTCTGCTTCCAACGCTTATCCTTTGGAATCGATCTTTTGTGTTGCTCGTTTCAGATTCAAAGGTGTAAATCAGATTTTGATTCGATCCTACGGTTTGTTTCTATGTTTCCAAAGCTTATTCTTTGGAATCGTTCGAGATTTGTATGAAATTTGCTTTTTTTAAGAATTTTGTTGTGAATCTAAGTATATAGCTTGATTACAACAATATCGTTGAAGGATACGAAGAATTCGTGATAATTTTTGGATTGTATTTACACAGGTGCGTCTCAGATTTCAGAAATCAAAACATGAATTGAAGGTAATGTTTATTGTTCGATTTAAGGTTGCTTCAATATCTTTGTGTGAGAGTTTTATCCCCAAATTAAGTGAATATGCATGTTTCTCACTGTTGAGTCAGACCATATTCCTTGGATTAAACAATAAAGGATCAGGTTTTTTTCTCTCTGTTTTCATCTTAAGTATTGATGCTTCTTAGGTTGAAGTTGATATGGTTTGATGGAATTTGGGTATTTCAGGAGGAGAAGTTGCCCTATTCTTGTATGTATCAGGCGAGGAACTTGTTGTGCCCATTGGAACTTACATGGAGCAAAGACAAGGTGGCGTTTTTGTTTCTTTTGTGAATTATAATAACAAAAGATTAAACTTTCATCTACTTTATTGTTTCTTTTGTAGCAAATTCTGAAATCAACTACTCTTTGCTCAAGCGAGAGGTTTTTTATTTGTCTGTTCTATTTTCTACCTCAGGAAGCCTTGTAAGGTTGGTGTGAAGTACCTAGAAGATGGAACAAAAGTAAGAGTAGCCAGAGGCAAAGACACATCCGGTTCGATAATTCCTCGCCCAGAGATTCTTAAGATAAGAACAACACCAAGACCAACTACATGTATGTTAGAAGCTCAACACCTGTAAACATGTCACTTACCTATAAATTTTTGGAATCGTATATAGTGGAAATATCTTAGTTAAATCGGCTGTAAGGTTATGATGGAATCAACACAATTCCTCTGCTATGCATTTAAAACATGTGTTATATGTTCTGAATCTTGAGGTTCTTGATTTGAACTATATATAAAAACATCTCAATACGCTGATTTCATCACTCTATAAAGTCAAAATGGACTTGATATTTAATGGTTATGTTACAGAAAGATTAATACTTGGCCGAATTGTACATTTTTTTTTGCAGCTGGCCCTAAGGACACACCAATGGAGTTTGTGGGAAGACTGCGAAGTTGATTGCAACTGGTTCTGGACATTTGATTAAAGGGATTCTTTGGTGTGGAGATGTGACTATGGATCGGCTCAAATGGGGAAATGATTTCATGAAACGGAGGTTGAGTAAAGCTGAGAAGGAGAGGGATGTTCATCCTGATACCTTGAAAAGAATCAAGAGGTATATGTTTAATGGAATTGTGTTTCATATGTTTGTTTGAGAGGTTTGTGATGTTTTCTTGTAGTTAGTTTATGAAAAAAGGGAAATCT